GGGTCCTTCGTGATGACGCTGTTGTTGCTGCTCATTATCACGGCACTTCTGGCCTGCAGAGCTGCAGACAGGGGTGGGAAGTTTGTGCTCACAACACTTTGGCTGCCCACGGTGGGCGATGGCGTTGTCGAAGTCATAGCTGAAACGGACGGTCGCCCGAATGGATATTCAGCTACGCGGCTGTAATCAAACCATCAGAATCATTGGACATTGGAGTCGAACTGGGCAAGACTTGAACCGTAACCTACCTGGGCGTAAAGGAAACAGAGGCCCGTCGCTGCTCAGTAAAGTTGGGCATTAAACGTTTCATGCCAGCTTCGCCGCTATCCACAGTATTCTGATGTCTTATGCCCAGATTACGTTGAAGGCGTTCGGCCACATCGCTGCCGTTTCCGTCCGATGAGGTGCTGTGGCGACACGAGATCTCAGCATACACCTTGTTACGAATAAGACATATACTCACCTGGTCAATCGTTGTGTGTTGCCCTTGACATGACCGATGCTCATGCCTGCAGTTGTGGTTATAGCTGTGTCTGTGCTGCTATTGGCGCCTGTGGATGGCGCTGTCATTGTGGGTCCTGTATCGCTATCCTGCTCCCACGGACAAACTGAGAGCTTCACCTGGGCAGCTGCTGTGCTTGTGGGGGGCGGCGCAACAGGCTCATCCCAGGGGCAGACGGCGCTGGCAGCCGCACCGGCCACAGTCTCAACTGTGGTCTCTAGGCGTGCTGGCTTCGTCTTTGGTGTCTCTCTGTTCAAGGGGGGCAAGAGGACAAAATGTGTAAAGCGATTTCTTAAATCTGTGCTGGGGGGATTTTAGCGAGCAACACAAAAATGCAAATACGCAACACTTAGAGAGTCGTTTTAAAATAGGTTGTTGCTCTTGGAGTGTTGCACTTGATATGGAAACACATAGATCAAAGGTGGGTGGATTTTTTGAGCTATTTACAGTCAAAACGGAAGATATATTATAAAATTGGCTTAGAGTAGATGGCGCGACGGCGTATTGAATGTAGATCCAGTGCTAGCTCCGAGATCTTGCCGATCTCTGGAGATCTATGCTTCTGCATCTGCATCGGAATCGGCATCGGCATCTGCATCTTATGCTCCAGCCCACAAAAAGACCACAAAACGAGCACACAACAGCGACGAGCATACGAAAGCAAAATGAAACACAGACAGCGATAGAGTTCCATAAATGGAAGGGCGGGTAAACGCTGTACAAAGGCGAAACCAAACTAATAGTATACGAGTATGTTGTTGTTGTATATTTGTAGAAGCGTGGGCATTAAATGGGGCTGTGAATGCTTGTGTTTATGTACAACTGAGCAGCAAAAACTAAATATATATATATTAATTGTTTGTGTGTGTGTGGGGGGGGGGGGGGGGGGTGTGGTATTTTGGGACACTCTCCTAATAATATGTCTTCCCCACGTTTGCAGAACTCTCTCCCTCTCTCTCTCAACTTTTTCAAAATGTTGTGGGCTTTATTTCAGTTAATGCAAAAATAATAACTTTATTCAAACTTATACAATAGATAGATAGTTGCTCTGACAATGCTAGAGATTTTACTATGCAGTTAAGACGAATTTAAAGATTCATTTTCTTCCACTTCTTGGCTACTCCATTTCAAAATTGTAAACGATCACCAGACTGAGTTCCAACAAGAAATGATTGAATGAAAACTACTGGGAATCTTAATGATAAGAAATATTATTCAAAATAGTTTGTGTGAATTAAAGGAAATCTCCTAAATAGGAGATTCTAGAAAATGAATTGTATCTCTCTATGCTTCGCAATAGCTTTCGGTCCTAAGACCTATGATGCATAGAAAATCGTCAGCTCACCCTGCAGGATACATCTTGAATGGGGGAGGACCTTTACAAACATATACAAGTTTATAATGAATGATGATTATGTAAAGAAGCACACACACACACACACACACATGGGTCAACTGGACAACGGACTGTATGTACAGGGTGCGCCATCTTTTATGTCGGTATGTAGATATTGAATAACTTTGTCATTAGTGAACCGATTGATGATGTTTGCATACCGACATAAAAGATTGCGCACCCTGTATATAGGACGCATAATAATGTATAATGTGAATACTATATTGTACAACGGCATGTTAGAAGAACAATAGGCAGGCGTAGGAGAAGTAGGGAAAGTTCTATGGATGCGCACAGACAGACAATTATACAGAATTGATAGACAATGTACAAGTATGTGCAGTACAGACACATACATACCTACACACACACACACACACACACAGACACACACACACGTACACATGGACAACAACAACAATAAAAGGCAGTGTAACAAGATTGAGAGAGTGGGATAGTGGTAAGAGCGAGAGGGCGAGCGAGCGGAGGAACGGGCGACAGAGAATAAAGAGAATTTTGCTTATTGAAGGACCAAATTGAATTGAACAGTGTATTTAAAAAAGAATAGGAAGTACATATTTGTAGTAGTTTCAAAGTGTTTGAAGAGTTCAGTTTGTTTTTGGGAGGGGATGTTGGATTAATTGATTTGTCAAAAAACAATTCGAAACAAAAATTTCTTACGGAAGTGTCTGTAAACTACTTTCGCGATTCCCGTAGGCAGCATAGATTCCGGCATCAATGACCGCCATGTGGCGCTGCGGCATATCGCCCCGGTAAATGGAATCGCTACTGCAGTGCGTGTGACATGACATACATTATGAGTTATACATATTTATTATATATATATATGTGTATATATATATACGAGTATATATATATGAATGTAACATATTTATTATCAGTTGTTTTATTAGGCGTTGCAATTATCAATTTTCAATGGATTTCAATTTCATGGGTGGTTATTTGCGATTTGCGATTGCGATTGCAATTTGCGTTTTGTGGTCATGTGGAAAAGAAAAAACGAAATGAGAAATGTTAATACCAAAGAAACACTTGGAAATCAAATATCCAAAAAATGTTCTCTAGAAAAAAGAGCAAAATAGGATAATCACTCTGCAATGCATTTGCAATTTGCTCAAAAAAGCATTTAGACAACACACATACACACGCGCGCTTTCACACACACACACACACACGCAGAAATACAAAAAAATCAACCAAATCAAATTATAAATGAAACTTGAAAACACAGCTAAAATGCCAAATATCATACACACTCCCTCATACACACCCGGCCGATGGACATAGAGTACTCACCTGTAGGGTATCTCACTGAGATTGCTCTGAGAGTGTGAGTGCGGCACCTTAGAGCCGGCATCCTTGTTCACTCCAATCACGGCCAGCTCGTGAGCGGAGCCCGTGAGGCTACGATCACTGCCGCGACGTCGTGACAGATTGCCCGGCGGTGGAGCCTGCATCATGGAGCCACTGCCACTGCCACTCGTTCCCTTTGCCGCATCGCCCAGATTCGGCTGACTAGAGAGAGCTGCCGTCATCTTCTTCTTGGCACCGCTCACGCCACCGAAGTTGAAGAAGCGCTTCTTGTGCGACGGTTGAATGCCAGTCTCCAGCAGTCGTTTGTAGTGATCGGAGCGTATGAAGCGTGGATAGCAGTCCTTCTTTAGTAGGAGCATATAGATATGCTCGGATGCCGAGTCGAATGTGAAGCGAGAAGGGTTCTTAAGACCGCGCAGAACACTCTCCATAGTCTTTCCATCGATGTTGATCTCGCAGGGAGCACCAGGCTTGAGAAACTCTCTGCAATAGATGAAAAGTACAGTCAACAAACAGAAGCCATGTTTGGGATAAGTCTACCTAAGGCGGAAACTAAACTTATTTTGAGGCTATGTCAAGCTCAGGGCCTGGATTTATTTGTGGCTAAGGAGGTCGATACACGACTGACCAGGACACGTTACTTACTCGTATATCTCATTGACCTTGCGAGCCACCTGCGAGTGTGCTGAGCGACGTAATCGATTCACCGCTATCCAGAAACGTATATTCTCGTGCGAATACTCCTTCTCTAAAAAGGATGTGAACTCTTGGAGACCCGTCGGATCTGATACAAGCTCTTCAATGGAAATGGCCCAGCGTTTGACGCGCTTTTCTGTGGGCACATCGACAAATGTATTGTTTAGCTGCCAGAAGGCAATATCCTCGGTGACCCATGGATTGGAGGGTAGTGCTGGCTGCAAGAAGAAGTCGTACTCTGTGAAGGTTTCCGAGTAACAGACGAGCGACTCGCAGGCCTGTGACATCTTCATTCGTGTGCGATTTAGCGATTTGCCTAAATAGTCCACCTCGCGTTGCACATCGTCGACAGTCTTCTTCTTATTGGGCTTGAGGCCCTGGCGATCGCGCGACGGCACCGGACAGGGCTCCAGCGGCGTGAATTGGCCGGGTGGTGGACGGTGTACGCGCCAGTAAGCGCGCTCCTGCGAATCCCCTACAATCTTATCGCCCTTCTTGCGCTCCTTGGCCAAACGCACTTGCTCCTCAGCTTGCATCGAGATAAAATCCCATTTTCCCTTAAGATTCTTGTGCAGAGAAGCGAGCGCTTCGGCTTCATAGTCCTCTAATGCGTGGCGTTGTTTGTTACGCAACGAGCGCTTGGCCAAATAGATGGCGTATTCAACGTTATCGGGCGCCTTGTGCTGCCAGGGCCAGTAATAGGGCGTCTGGAAGCGATATAGCGACGAGTCGTCCTTAACGGCCAACGTCTTTGAGTCGTTGACGGGAAAGAAATAGCCATGCAGGCATAGCTGGTTCGCGATGTTCAGCGCCTCAGACTCCTCAATTTGTAAGCGATCCATTAGCCACTCAATAAGATCGTAACCTAACCGAATAAAAGAAGTTGCACATGATTTGCACTGTCATTGATGTTCGCTAATCGAATTGGTCGCATCCACTTACCCATAAATGCATATGGTATGGAGGTAAGGAACATCTTCTGCTGCCGCACAGGCACACCGTGCTCCTGGTCCTGCATCTCGCGCACTAACGCCTCCATCTGTAATATGAAAAAAAAAATGCATTGCATTAGCGTGGGAGCTAAATTGAATGAAGCGAATGTACCAAGTTAATTGGCCCCCAAGGTCTAAGTGTGGTAAGGGTATGGAAATGACTGTGGGCTAACTGCCCCCTCCTCCTTGCTTGCCACCGGTAAGCCACACAGTTAGCAGTCACAATAATTGAGTCCAAGGATGTAAGCAGTCGTACGTGCATGTTTTAGCATAAATTTGCAGCTCTTGCTTTAGTAACGACGGCAGCATCGATGGCCACAATGTAGGCACGCTTTGTACCGCCTCAAGGTTATCAAAGTTGCAGCTGTCTGCAATAGCTCGAGGCGAGGTTCTTAAGGAAAATTCCATACTACACATTGTGGGACCTGGTATTCATAAAACTTGCGATGAATAGCGCTACTTGGTCTAAGCCAATAGAATTGATGCTCTACAATTCATCAACATCACGAAGACACATTTGAACATAAGCAACATCCTTTCAAATATACACATTTCCTTAACTCCATCTGTTTCGGTCCAAGGACGCTGTGAGTTTCTAAAGTACAAATTATATCCCAGTCAAGCGCTCACAGAAACTTGAATACATTATTTCTAAAATTGTAACTAAAAAGCGAGAAATAAGTACATATTGGAAAACAACAAATAAAAGCTTCCAAATGTTGTCGCAAAAGGAATTCACCACAGCTTGGCGTTTTTGGCTGATCTGGATGGCCTTAATGTGTGGTAAGAGATCCATTTAGAGGTCCTGACAGTCCTATTTATGCGAGACAACAATGGAAATTTGAAGGAAGAGCTGTGGTTACAGCATACACATACTCTCATACACCCAGTCCCACACACACCCAGCCCCACACACACACACATCTTGCCATTGACAAAAGCCCTAGAAACACACAGGTTGGCAACGGTCGAAGCCACATTTTCAGGTCAGCTTTGGTTAGTTGTTGCCACATACAACACAAAACAACAATTCGCGGAGCATTTATCTGCCTCAGCATATACGTCTATGCGTAAATGATTTTCCAACTACTCCGTCCTTCCGCAGCTGGCATTTTTCTTTGCGCCAAGCAGCTTACCGATGCATACAACCGCCAGTCCCAGGAGCAGAACAAGACCCAGACCATCGCTAACGACACCGTGGACAAGGCGGTCAAAGAAAGTGAGTGTTGCTGCCCACCCCGAGTGGACACTCTAAAGTCCTGCTTCGTTTCGCAGCTCTGGTGGAAGGCATCAGGACAGAGGCGCAGAATCCACCAATTGACGACATCTATGCGATTTTAAGACGCCCCCTAGTCGACCTTATCTACGAGCATGCCTTGCGCCACAGCAAAGCTGCAGGATGCCTCGGGGCCAAGAAAAACATCACCATGAAGACAGGTATTTCAAAACTACGACATCCACAACGTCGCAAGCGGCAGGCTGAGGAGAAAACGGCTCTTGAACCGGTGAGTCGCAATTGGAGTTCGCGGCAGATCCAACGCTCACCTTAACATCACAGATCTCTCGCCTCAACATCACCAAGGACGCAATGCGTCTTAAGGGCTTGAAACTCCTAAAGATAATCGGGGGTGCCATCAACGAGCAATTACACTTTGGGGAGCGCGAACAACCGAAAATAAGGCCCGGGGACGAATCAGCCAAGCAGTCTCGATCCCCAGTTCAGATCCTGACTCCCCGTGGTATTTTTATTGGCCCCCTGAATGAGTTCAAGCAGTTGGTGGCACAGCGACGTTGTCCATTGCATGGCTTGTTAACTTTCAAGGAACAATCAGCGGGTCCTTGCAAGTGCTGTGGCAAATAAAATCGCGACTAGAAGCGACACTTACACACACACACACACATACACACATATCCACACTGAAAAGCGAATCAGTTTGGGTCTCTTTTCCCGATAGAGTTGTTGAGACGCTTTGAATTATATTTCTTAAGGGTCCTCAGGACTACAGTTCCTTACCATTTATATAATATTTAAGCAAAGGAGGAAGTCACAAATCATATTGAAGAAGAATAAATAAAATTTCTTAGGTTGCTAGTTCGAGGTAATATGAGTATAGTGGAGAGTTTATAGAATTTCGAATAAGCTACTAGAAACTCATTAAAAGGATGTTTCTAATTTACATATGTTTCTGTATTTAACGTAGTATTTAACCGTATTTAACCTTCCTTCAGGCTGCCATAACTGCGTTGCAGAACGATCAAATAGTCCAATAAATAGAACAGAATAGAAATAGAATAATGATTCGATCACAACCGACAAATGCATTTACACAACCATTATTTTATTATATTTTGTGTGGAAAGGAAACAAATAAAAGTCTCAACTTTTGGAATGTCTTCATGGGTCTATGGAGTAAGGGGCAATTTACTTGAGCCACTCACCTTATCGAAAGCCATGGGTCGTGACAACTTCTCGATGGCCTGTTGCTGGGGCTGCTGACTGCTCCCACCCCCGCCACTTAAGAGCGTACTAGCGCCCGAGGCAGATCCATGGTGGTGCGGTTGGTGTGGATGGTGCGGAGGATGCTGGTGAGGATGCGACTGTGAATGTGGGGGTCCTGCAGTTGCCAAAGTTGCTGCTGAATGAGGATGCTGATGGTGCTGCAAATGATGGTGACCCACTGAGCTGCCACTGAAGGCAGTGGCCGCCTGAGTGGTTGCCGATATCGCAGTGGCGGTGGAAGCCAGAGCAGGACTGGTGCCCGAACCGCTGACATTGCCAGTTCCGCTGCCGCTGTTGGCATTTCCGCTGCCACTGCCGCCGCTTGTGGCGGTCGCTGCATTGTTGTTGCCTGTGGCGGTGGCTGGCGACAGAGCTGTTGCACTGGCCTGTGGTTGCGACTGCGGCTGCAAGCTCAATGTGGTCGGCTTCATGCATTGCGGCAGACGCGCCACCAAAGGCGCAACGGGCGTGGCCGGATTCCGCAACACCAGCTGTCGATCTCTGTCTGGCGGCAATCCGCCGGGCGGCTCCATGGCCGCTTTCTTAGGTTAGGCTTGCGCCGTCGTCGTCGTCACTGTTCGCGTCCTTCCTTCCCCACTCTCTCTCCCTCTGCTTCTGTCCCCTCTTTGCCTCTCTTTCTTTCTGTCTGGTTCGCTTGTGCGCGCTGCCGCTGCGTGTGCGCAGGCCGCTTTCAATCGTTGGCCAGCAACAAGCACGCAAGGCTAGGCGCGCGCGCCTTTCCGGGCTTGGTCTTTGGACTCTGTGGCGCCCCGAACTTTTGATTGCTGCGGCGCTTTTTGGCACTTGCAACGGGGACGCCCTCCTGCTACTTCCGCTCCTCCCGCTCCTCTCGCTTGTGAGCTTGTGAGCGGTTTGTTGCGCAACCTCAACTTGGCGCTTATATTTCTAAGAGATTATTTGTTTTTGTTTTTGGTTTTTTCCTTCTTCTTACTTGTATCTATTCTTTTGTTTGGCCTCTGCACTAAATAAATTCAAATGCTATTTAGTTTACTTTTCGTTGAGAAGTTGTTGCCGCTCCTGGCTTTAGTATCTCATGCGCATTTTCTGGGCGCAGTTAGCCAAATTCCATCATATCCTTGTGTATGGAAATATGTGCTGCGAATTGACGTAAGAGAGAAAATTGTTCAATTACATGGAAAATATCAGGGCACAGGCCAGTAGGGAAGGCTCTCACACACACACTCACACTCACACACACACACACACACATGCGTAAAGCGTGGCGTGCAACATGAGCTCCGCATACTGATAGTTGCAAAGACGAGTAAATAAAATCGAAGTGCAAACTTAAAGAGCAAGAATGAAAAAATGGGGAATGGGAATTTGCTTATTCCTGTTTTCATCAGGTTTGATTAAAGCTTCAACATTTTATAAATGAAATGCTTTTCTATTTGTTTTGAGGACATTCGAGTACCATACACTTACAATGTTTCATTTTTGCTCAATTTCTTTCGTTTTCTGCTCCGGCCCAGCTTCGTCGTTGTTGTCGTTGTGGTCGTTGGCATCAAGTTCTTGCCACCTTTTCAATTTTGTTGCCGCAAAGCCGTAGCAGTTCTTCTATTAGCCATCGAGTACCGGCCAGCTAGTTCATTGTCCAATCGACATGCAACAGAAAATACACATCTCAATGGCCTCTGAAGCTGGTGGACTGCAAAGAAATAAAAGTTACAGCTACGTTAGTCGACAAAAATTGCAAAACTTTTGTACTAGGTTGCTCCAACTTTGATGATCAAAACTTTCAAGCGCTGCAGCTAAAGCAAAAATAAAAAAAATATATTGCAGCTAAACACTAATCACTCAATCGAAATGTGCTCTCAGAATCTGACGAACGCAACACACAACACAATACAATACTTGTATATATGTGTCTAAATGTATATTTTTTTGAATTAATTGGAAGCTTATAAAAAGAGAATGACATCGGAAATATCGCACTTTCAATTCACAACATACTATATATAGTAGCTGGAATTAGGTACAATCAAGTAAGCTTCGTGAGTCTTTCTTACAGGGTACTAACATAAAATTAGGTAAATGCTCTGCAACTATTTGTATACCTTTTATTGGGTAAAAGCGTTCAAAGATATACTATGTAGTTTAGTGCAAGATGACCAGTCGATATAACCATGTCCCTGCGTTAGTCTGTCTGTCTGTATGAAAGCAAGGATGTCAGGAAGTATATATAGAGCTAGAATGACCCAACTTGTTATAGGCCGAGAAAGGAAATTGTGCATTTTTTTGATGATAATACTAGTAAATGCAATTCAATAAACAGCTTCATACAAGTATAAATACATATTTTGCCTGATAAAAAGAATGGAAGATCCATTGCCTGCAATGCTGATAAGTTCACTAATATGGACTCCCTCTTAAGCGGACGCACCTGTGGAATATAACTTTACAGAATATAGTATCCAAACAAAATTGTCCCCGACATGGCTTAGCAAAGTCTACAGTGTTTGCTCGTTTACTCAGACAGATAAATGTGCATGCGTAGATGGATTGTTATCATCATAATTATTTAAACACAACTCGTAGCCTACCAACAGTCTTCTGTAACATAGAGAAGCGCTGACACGTTGCCTGCAGCGTGCAGACAAATCTTTTTTCATTTAAATTGTTATCAATCAGTTTTTCCTCCCAATTCTGAGATGATGCCCAATCGATCCTCATGACAACATTGATTAAAATCGAATGGAAGCACAAATGAAAAATGCATTCCTTTCCATCTTTCATATCAAAGGTGTAGGCGATTGTGGGCGGTACACAGGACAGGGCATCGAAAGGGAATGTTGCGATTGCCAATTTTCTTCGTCTAATTCATTTCGTGATTAATTTGCACAAGGAAATGCCAACAAATGTTGCAATTTCCTTTTTGCTTTTTGGAGAGCCAAATGTGTCTTACTGCTTCTCAAATAAGGCACAGAGTGCTACGATATTTGGAAGGACTCTGCATTTGTGCGGATGTGTAAACGTATGTGGATCAAGGAGCGGGCATTGGAAATTGCCAGCTACTTTTTCACTTCAATGACTAGGGCACTTGAGTGTGCACAAATATTCATACATCTGAGCACATACATGGATACTCGTGTATGTAGTATTACATTACAAGTATATGCATGTCCACACACACTTATCCACACATGTGTACACAAATGCTAGTCCCTCTCTCTGCCGTCCGTTTGTCCATCCGTCTCTGTGTCTGTGTGTCTGTCTGACTGTCTGGCTGTCTGTACGTCTGTCCGTCTGTCCGTCTTTCTGTGGGTCTGTGCTCCATGCTACTGTTTCAGTTTTTTTTATAAGCTTGTCGATTTGTTTGTGTACAACATGATTAGCAAAAGCACTCTCAGCGTTATGATTTAATCAAGGACATTTCAAGTATTTCATGTTCTTAATGAAAAATTATGCCACACACAAACACACACACACACGCACACACCCATACACAGAGAGCGAGAGAGAGAGAGAGAGAGAGAGAGAGAAGAACACAAACCTGCTGGCTTACTGACTTGCACGTGTGCAAGTGTCTGTGTTTAGTGCTCGACTATGTCGTCGTCGTCGTCGTCGTCGTCGTCGTCGTCATCGTCATCCCACTTGATTTGCTTTTATTTATATGCCAGAGGTTGCTGCCCCGCCTTTCTACAACCAACAGCAGCCTCCTCGTTCCTCCCCGCCCCACCACCCACCACAAACGGCGTGGAAGTAATTTCATTTTGATTCTGTCCATGTGGACTACATGAAGCACAGAGCTAGAAAAGATGAGAGAGAAAACAAAAAACAAGAAGCAAAAACACAAACAAAAACAAAAACACAAGCTTCGACTCTTCCGACATGGAGGCTAAGTTTGCTTTGGCATTGCCAGCCATTAAGTAACTGTTAACGCACATTTAGATTTTGAAACGGAATCATAAAGCTGTGATTTTTTTTAAAGCTGTGTCTGTTCCTTTTACCTCTCGCCCCTAAATTGTACTCGTCCTTAAATTGCTGAAAGGCAACAGTTTATTCCGCACTCTTATAAATAATGTTTGCTGTATGAACTATACAATACATTTTTATTGTTCTGGTCTGTTTTTAATTTATTCTTCGATTTCATTTATTCTGCTCCCCTCAGCAACCATCGCGCATTACTTCTGAAACTCATGTTGCACTCAACGCTGTTCGCATGTGTGTGTGTGTGTGTGTGTGCCTCCCCTCCTGGCCTCTGCCCTTATATTTTCCATGTAATTGAGCAATTTTCTCTCTTACGTCAATTCCGTACACGAGGATTTGATGGAATTTCGTTAACTGCGCCACAAACTCTCAACGAAAATGAAAACCAAGCTGAATATCACTTGAATTTATTTAGCGCAGAGCCCAAAAAGAATTGTAACTACGAATGAGAAAGCATCAGTCCGCTTTGGCTTCCAGCACCACTGCGATATTGGCAACCACTCGGGTGGCCACTGCATTCAGTGGTTACTCACAACTTTGGCAAATGGATGGCTACTCCCCTTCCTAACCAACATCCGCATCTCCGCACCACCCACATCAATTGCTCCCTCACTTCGTAACAGAACTTTCCGAAAATAAATTCCTAAATTTCTTCAACTCGATTATTTGTATTTCAGGGATTTGCTTCTTTATCGCATTTGTCCTTTCCTTTCCACATTTACAACATAGTTACAAAATATAATAAAATAATGGTTGTGTAAATGCATTTGTCGGTTGTGATCGAATCATTATTCTATTTCTATTCCGTTGGACTATTTGATCGTTCCACAACGCAATTGTGGCAGCCTTAAGGAAGGTTAAATAAGCTTAAATGCTATGTTAAATATTTTAATTAGAAACATCCTTAAAATGAGTTGCTATGCTTAGTAGCTTATTCGAAATTCTATAAACTCTCCACTATACTCATATTACCTCGAACTAGCAACCTAAGAAATTTTATTTATTCTTCTTCAATATGATTTGTGACTTCCTCCTTTGCTTAAATATTATATAAATGGTAAGGAACTGTAGTCCTGAGGACCCTTAAGAAATATAATTCAAAGCGTCTCAACAACTCTATCGGGAAAAGAGACCCAAACTGATTCGCTTTTCAGTGTGGATATGTGTGTATGTGTATGTGTGTGTGTGTGTGTAAGTGTCGCTGCTAGTCGCGATTTTATTTGCCACAGCACTTGCAAGGACCCGCTGATTGTTCCTTGAAAGTTAACAAGCCATGCAATGGACAACGTCGCTGTGCCACCAACTGCTTGAACTCATTCAGGGGGCCAATAAAAATACCACGGGGAGTCAGGATCTGAACTGGGGATCGAGACTGCTTGGCTGATTCGTCCCCGGGCCTTATTTTCGGTTGTTCGCGCTCCCCAAAGTGTAATTGCTCGTTGATGGCACCCCCGATTATCTTTAGGAGTTTCAAGCCCTTAAGACGCATTGCGTCCTTGGTGATGTTGAGGCGAGAGATCTGTGATGTTAAGGTGAGCGTTGGATCTGCCGCGAACTCCAATTGCGACTCACCGGTTCAAGAGCCGTTTTCTCCTCAGCCTGCCGCTTGCGACGTTGTGGATGTCGTAGTTTTGAAATACCTGTCTTCATGGTGATGTTTTTCTTGGCCCCGAGGCATCCTGCAGCTTTGCTGTGGCGCAAGGCATGCTCGTAGATAAGGTCGACTAGGGGGCGTCTTAAAATCGCATAGATGTCGTCAATTGGTGGATTCTGCGCCTCTGTCCTGATGCCTTCCACCAGAGCTGCGAAACGAAGCAGGACTTTAGAGTGTCCACTCGGGGTGGGCAGCAACACTCACTTTCTTTGACCGCCTTGTCCACGGTGTCGTTTGCGATGGTCTGGGTCTTGTTCTGCTCCTGGGACTGGCGGTTGTATGCATCGGTAAGCTGCTTGGCGCAAAGAAAAATGCCAGCTGCGGAAGGACGGAGTAGTTGGAAAATCATTTACGCATAGACGTATATGCTGAGGCAGATAAATGCTCCGCGAATTGTTGTTTTGTGTTGTATGTGGCAACAACTAACCAAAGCTGACCTGAAAATGTGGCTTCGACCGTTGCCAACCTGTGTGTTTCTAGGGCTTTTGTCAATGGCAAGATGTGTGTGTGTGTTTCTGGGTGTGTGTGGGGCTGGGTGTATGAGAGTATGTGTATGCTGTAACCACAGCTCTTCCTTCAAATTTCCATTGTTGTCTCGCATAAATAGGAATGTCAGGACCTCTAAATGGATCTCTTACCACACATTAAGGCCATCCAGATCAGCCAAAAACGCCAAGCTGTGGTGGATTCGTTGCGCGACAACATTTGGACGCTTCTATCTTCTCTGCTTCAACCGCTTGAGGAGTAACTTTGGGAAATTTACGTATTCTCCGCGTTCGAGTATAATGTTGAGATATATTCAGTGCTCGACTGGGATCTTATTTAAATGAACTCCTTAAACTCAGAGGTTTCTTTGATTCAATTCCAGAAACTGATACTGGATTCGCCGTTTCATAGTTTTATGCCATGTACACACTAAGTACATATATTCTTGATCTGTATGAAAAGACGAATTGCTAAGCCATGTCCTTCTAATCAACCTCTATAGTTGTATTTCTCTAGCCCCTAAACAATACAATAATTTTCCAGTGCTTATGTCAAGCTTAATCGCCATAAGTCAATTGTACAGAAACCCGTAGCCATTCCTTTATTCATTCCATTCCATTCATCTGCCTATACTAAGACAGTGGTAGTGGAATCATCGTATTTAGAAGCAGAGCTCGCTCGACTCTAGCATTCCAACCTTTTTTTGTGGATTGCTTGACTTAACCGAGGAACATTTGGTTTACGTATAATTGCTTGTGAAATTGCTCAGCTTGTAAACGACATTGCCGTGTAGCCTTCGCCCACCATTCAGCTATTCAGAGTAATTTGCGGAATGATTATACATCTTCCAGCCCAGCAGAGATTGGAATGTCGCCGTAAGCGACTCGATGGTCGGACTCAGGAGTACTTGAAATTCTCGGCCACACAACCAAATAGCTCAACGTTTTAGTTAAATCACGGCGATCGTACTAACCCTGAGCACCTTTTCTCATACTCCCAGCGCACTGCACTGGAAAATAGCTGGCCACTCATCGCCAGCATCTTGGCAGCACAATTTCGAGATAAGGTAGGGCTGACTATACGAATGTTGCTTCGGAGATGATTGAAGAGTTGACTGCCTTGTCCGGATTCAACATCTAGCATATTACTCCAAATATATAATAGTGTGCGAACTTTTTATTATATTTAAGAGAATAGCGTGACATATGGAATTCCAGGTAAATGGAACAAACTTGCGAGAACTCTGCCTTTATTTCCAAAACATTGCTCCATCTAATTGCTTTTGTAATGTTACCTAAATATTCGCTCTGCTTTTTTTGCGAAAATTACGCCACCATAGTAAAATTTTAATTCTTAGTAGTACAGCCAAAATGCGGAAAGTCGGAAGTAAGGGAACTTTTGAATTGTGTTTGAAAACGAAAAATCGAATTCAAATTATTCAAATTTATCTTTAACATAATTCCTTCAACATTGGAATGCCGCCAAATTAGTTTAAGTATTTAGTACGCAAACATTTAAACGATATTTCCTAATGCAATGTAGATAAAAGATCGGATGGTGCTGTCATATTTATACATTTAATTTAGTAATTTCTGATTCAGCACAAATAGAATAGAATAGTAAGCGAATATTTAAGCTACATTTAGTTAAAAGCAAACAGAAACTGCAGCTCAGTTTTCGTTTCAGATTAAAATGTGTGACCTTGTGAAGGAATCCGCTTTTATCTTGAAAAAATGCTGCCAAAATAGTAGGAATATGTAGTAAACGAACATTTAAATAAAAGTGTAAGTCGAAAATGGAAACGAAATTCAGCCACCCTTCGTCTTACATTTCAAAAAATGAAAAGTCCCTACTTGCAAGGCTTCTACCGTCCTCTTTAAAAAATCATTGAATGCATACTACTAACTAGCTAGCTACCATGTGTATATAGCAAGCGAACATTAACATTATATTTCTTAATGTTAGCTGAATATTCTGTTTAGCTAAAGGCTATCCTTTGTTTTAGGTGGAGAGGTACATAACGATTAGCCTTTGCATTTGTACAGTCAGATATTTATTTATTGTTGTACTTCCGCATATTATTCATTGCAGTGCACTTCTGTATATATGCCTTGCTACTTATTAAAATGTTTGAGTTTCTCATTGGCCCCCATCTACCACCCACAGCTCCTGCTGCCGTTTCTGGTGCTCATTCCCGCAGCTCAATGTCAGCCAGCAGCAGCAATGTGTGCCCTTCATCTAACTCTTTGAATATGCAGGCGAGGCACGACCGTGGCGGGGCACAACTGAGAATATCCCAAAACGGATTTCTCCAAGTCGTTGCTGAGAAGCGAGCAACCAGCAACCGTCGTGTCGCCCCCATTCATATTTCCACCAACATCGACATCGACACCGACATCGTTGCTTACAGTTAAGCTTCGCTTTATGCCATTGTCTTTGTGCTTTCCTTGTGCTGCGGAGAGGCTGCTTGCCAATCTGCTTTGCTTTTATTTTTATTGTTGAAATATTTTAATCAAAAGCTCAAGTAAACATAAACAAACAGTAGTAGCAGCATCAGCAGCAGCAGAGATGGCAGCCTCAGCTTCAGACCCAGCATCAGCATCAGCATCAACATCAGTATCAGTATCAGCATTGGCATCATCATCGTGCTCATCATTGTTGCCACTGTTGTTGCTATTGTTGTTGTTGTTAATAATAAGGATAATGTCTGCAAACGCTAACATCTTTGCTCGTTGTTGTGCTTGTTGCTGTTGTTGTTGTGTTGGGCTGCTTTGTGACGTTCTCAGTGAGTCTCTGAGCCTCTGTTTAGGCGACAAGCTCAATATGTTTCTTAGTATGGGCCTGTGTGTGTGAGTGTGTGTATTTACCTGTGTGTGTGTGTGTATGTGTGTGTGTGTGATTACAAGGTTTCAGTTCTCGCTACTGCTGCTGTCTCTTCTCCTTATTCGCCTTCTTCTTCTGCTGCTTCTTCTTCTTCTTCTTGATTCTAGCCCCGCTTTTGTAACTATTGTTGTAATGGCTGTTGTTGTTGTTGTTGTTGTAACTGCCGCACTTATAACAGAGACAAACAAATTTCATCCACTTAGCTAAAATAAAATCCAACGACAACGGCTAGAAACAACACCAACAACAACAATATTGTAGAGCTCTTAAATAGAACAAAGGCAAAAATCTATGCACATACACACAAACAAACAAGCAAACAAACACACATACATACATATTTGTGTATAAATAAAAATACCCACATACATACATACATACATACATACTCGTACACATGAACATAAAATGTCCATGAGCATGAACCCTGGTGTACTATACGTAAGTACAAGTATTTCGAGGTTTCTGCGGCGAAACTATCGTTAAAAATGAATATCGTTAAAAACGGAAAGAGAGCTGAAACCCAACTCGAAACGGACAACAAGGAATAATTTGTTCGCTCAGTTTGTGGCAGCAAATTACTATCGTCTTGGTAACATGGCGGGACGCGTGGATCTGCTTGTCCTTTGGTCATCCAATCACCCGTCTGTATGAACCAGTACATAAAAATCGGAAAGTATGGAAGCTAGAGCTATCAAAAGTTGTTCACCCAAAGCGAGTTTCGAATTTCTTCACTAGCTCTGATGACTATTTAAAACTATGTAAATTTAAGGAATTTCATTTCTGGCAGGAAAATCAACGAAGAATGCATAGCAGAAGAATGGATATTAAAACAAGCCATTACTATTCATTTAAATTAACAAACATACTACTACTTGTATGTGTAAAATAAACTTTAATGTGGTGGCTGGAATATTGTATTTCTTTCGAGATGCGAGCGCTCTCCTATGTTTTTTTTTTTTTTATTATTGGCGTTGAAGTAGGAGTCTTCAATTAAATTTATAATTCTATTGTTGCTATTTTTAAATAAGCACTGCCATCCGCGCATTGCATGTACAAGGCATACCCATTGCAAAAAGCAATCTGCGCTCTTATTAATGATTCGGAACTCGAATGCCTACAATGAAAAGGTTCTGCTTACAAAAGAACAGAAATCAAATTGAAAAAAACACCTACGAGCTATTTTAACTGCGCGAGTCTATATACACACGTAGCCAGGGCCAACGGAGCTTTTAACTCACATTCCGTATGCTGCCCTGCAATTTTAATGGAATTCGATCCTTTGCACCAACCACCAGGTAATGAAATAAATGAAATATCTGCCATTTCCTTAATCCAATTACTATACTTATGATTCAGTTCTCATGAAATTGCACCATTACCTGATTCCATGTAAAACTTTCTGTCGTAATGCAACGAGCAGCTAATTATTTTCATAATTTTCCTGGAAATTGACGAACACACACACGTATATTGGTACGAGCACGAGCCAATTATTGGCAGAAAAAAAAACACCGCTATTTGGTATCACTTTTCATTTATTGCTATTTACGAGAGCAAGCAAAAATATTGCGACTTAAAGACACTAGACTACTTTTCACTGAAAAATAGAGATTCTGGAGTTGAATACTACAAGTGCAAAAATGTTTATCTACTTGTATGTTCAACACGTTTGTTAACCAGCGTACACTTTTTTTACTGCCCTTATCGTTGGCATAGCCAATGCTCTGAGACTACAGTTTTGATTTTGTTTCCGTGATTTTGCAATCCACCACCTTGGAGATTATAGCCCAGGAAACCGTTTAATGAAGCAGAAGCGATTAAAGTCGGACCCAAGGACTTCACGACTTCACTGGTTAACTGCATTCTAAGTGGACCTTCAATAGCTTTTGGGAGCTACAAACTCCAAAGACTGCCTCAATTGCTACAATCAAAATGCTGTGTACAAGTTTGGTTATGCTAGGTCTTGTGAGAGACCCTGGCTTTTATATAAACAGACCCAATACTCATTTTCACTTTCTGTGTGCTACAGACTCGTACATTCGTATTGAACAAGTAAGCCTTTTTATTCATAAAGCTGAGGGTATAACAAGGGTGGATGAGGTTTGTGCAAGCTTTTGGTCCCTAGGCAACACAGGTTTATTTAATTTTTTAATACCACTTCATTATGAATATGCGCGAGCAAGCTGTACAAATCGGAGCCTATCTCCACCAAGTACTTATTTAAATTATTGATAATGGATTCAACGTGCTTGTTATTAAATATACATATACCATATATATTTATATATATTCATACACACACAATTTTTTTCTCAATACAGAAAACATATTTCATTTTGATTTCTTGCATATGTGCCGAATCCGTAATGCAAAAACACACACACACAAAATATACCGAAATTTCAATTTTGTTGCTTTTGTTTTTGT